TGGAGCCATGATTTCCAATAATCAATAAACTCAAAACGTTCTCAAACAATTTAAAGACCCCTCTGCAAAACCCTACAATTCGATTTCAAAACACAAAAATCGAAAGCACTTGGGGGCGTAATTCCGACCACAAACTAAAGCTTAGTTAACCCTCAATAAATGAATGCATATATCAAGGTGAAGCAGAGGAAGAGATAGGCTTTTTGACGGAGCAAGAATTTCTGAAAGCTTCAATCTGCTGGCGGCATTTGGCCTGATCCCCTTTGTTCTCGTTCAAACACTTTCTTAGGGCTTCGACATCGCATGGCGACATGATCTTTTGCGAACTGCCGTTACCCTTTTCGTCGGTTTTCCAACTTGCTTCCATTGTTTATGAAATTGTGCTCAATGCGAGACTTGTGAGTAATAGTTGTTGGGTTATTGGCCTGTATTCGATTAAGTGAAGGAGTGAAACTGTGAAATCTATATCTATATATATATATAACTAGTGCGTGGCCCGTGCGATACACGGGAAAATAATATTACGATTATATTATAAATTAAATATATAATATCATTAATTATGATTTACCCATTATTTTTAAATTAAACCAGATTGGACACAGTCCGACCGGATGGACCGAGAACCGAGTTATAAACAGTGTAGTTCGCTTGAATAAAATATTTACTATTGAATCCGTCAACATCAGTCAGTTGGACTGGTAGGATCGTTACGATTTTCTAAATAAATTTTGTTACATTTAAAATTATTTTAAATAAAATTACATATTTAAATAAAATAGAGATTTATAAATTGTTTATCAATTAGTTTTAACATTTGAATTTATAAATTGTTTAGATATTTAAGTAACACATTTTATTAAAATTTATTACAAAAAGTACGCTCTCTCTCTCTCTCTCTCTCTATATATATATATATATATTAAAATGTATATATATTGATATTAAAATGTTTATAAATTAAAATCTGAATAAATTACAAATGATTCAATAGAATAATTTGATCGTTTCGATGATGGTTTGATTCTGAAAACCATATTCACTGTACATTAATAAAAAATATAATAAAATATTATTTTATTCACATAAATATTAATAAAATAATATATAAATATTCATTAATCATTAAACATGTTGTCATATAAACGTATTGTTAATATGATTATTTGAAGTTTGGGGAATATTAAAAATTGAAATGAATTAATATATAAATATTGTTGTCATATTCACATGGTAATTCTTATTAAAACTTGAAATATATTAACAGGCTTCGAAAAATGGTTAACATGTTGTTACATGTTGAAAAATTTATGAACAAAGCCTCATAAATTGAAAAATCTTGTTAACATGTTGTCAATTTTTAATGAACAAAGTCTGTTACCATTTCAATTTTAAGTGAAAATCACGTATCTATATAACAAAGCATGTCAATCACTCTTTTAAAATATTGTTAATATGATTATTAGGAAAAAAAAAGTTACTAAGAATGGTAGGTAATTAATGTTGACTGAAATTTGACTTTTCATTTTTAAAAAAATGGTAATTCTTATTATATATATATAGATTTTTTATAAATAATTAGTAAATCAAATACTTCACATAATATTCACAATAGTATAAAGTAAAATTACCGAATAGAATTGACTCGTCTATTTTGTTGACATCTTGCAATGTTGCAAAGTCACTGAATAGAAATCGAAACATAGAAAAAGACAAAGTGTCTTTGCATTTCATAAATACAGTGCCCCCATGTAGTATTATCTTAAACTCGCCAGTTGCAGATCTATACATATCAAGGTTGCTATCAACTTGGTAGTTTCGTATAAGAATGACCATGCCCTCTTCAATGGACTTCTTTTTGAACCCCGAAAAATAGACTGCTCTTAGTCAAGCTGTAATGCGTTTTCCCTTCAAAAATAAATTGAAACGGCAAATGTAAAAGTAATCTATATGATACGTAAATAACAAATAGTGAGAAATGAAATCGAAATCATATGCCTACCGTTCTATCATGCAAAATAAGCTCGAGATGCGACTTGAATGTGCTGCCCTTATCTTGATAAAACATCCTCACAATGCGGACTTTAAGCATAGGTCTCTTGCTCCTATTAATTTCTTCGATTAATCCAAATGCTTGATCCATGGCAGAGAGAGTGATTTTTTTGTTGTACAATATGCGATTGTAATTGTAATACGTTGAATGGGTGATGGTGGTAATGAGGGTACATATATATATATATATATATATATATATATATATGTGTGTGTGTGTGTGTGTGTGTGTGTGTGTTAATGAGAGTATCTTGTTAAAGAGAGTTTCAAATCGGCTGAAAATCAATAGCAATCTTGTTCCATGTGAACTTTAGAAAATTAAATCGGCAAAAAAATCGTAACTTTTGAAAGAGTCCTAGCAAATGGAAGAAATATAATTTTTAAGTTTAATGTACGTAGAGATTGTTTACAATAAGTAAAAACGTGTTAATGTCCTTTTGGCGTGGATTTTATATTGCCTATTTTATACGTATGTTTTGTATAGTTTTTTATAGATAATAATTCAACACTCTTTTTTTTTTTTTAGGAAATGAATAACAAACTTAATATCAGTTCTGAATATTGATAAGGTGGATAAAATAGCTTCTCCTTATAATACGGATTTTGTTTTTGAATCTTAAAATTATCCCAAATATCTTCTCCTTATAATACGATTGTTTTGTTTTTGAATCTTAAAATTATCCCAAATATCTTCTCCTTATAATAATATCTTCTCCTTATAATACGATTGTTGTTTCTTCAATTTATCGCTAAAAAAATATGTTTAAAAGGCGTATGAAATGTGATTATTTCGTTACCATAAAAAAATATGTGATAAGGATGCTGTTAATGAGGCCTGTGAAATGGGATTATTTCGTTACCATAAAAAATTATGCAAGGACGCTGTTAATGAGGCGTGTGAATTGGGATTATTTCATGAGAATTAAATCGGTATAATTAATGAGTTTAAAATGCGTGTGAAAAGGACATAAATGCTGTCTTAATAAGGCGTGTGAAATGAACATAAGAGTTACCGATTTTGGAAAGTAATTAATGCAAAACTGACTTTGATCATTAATTAAGTTACTAATTTTGATAAATGTTAATTCTTATTATATAAGTATAGATAAGAATTAACATTTACTAAAAATAGTAGCCAAAAATTTAGGAAACATTTAATGCATACTATTTTTAAATACTTTTTAAATATATACATTAATTTCTTCCATATATACGTTTTCAAATAAGATCAAATAAAATATGATCAAAAAATTACTTAAATAAATTTATTAATATCTGCAATATTTTCATTTATATTTATTATAATAAATTACAAGATTGATTTTTCGTAATTCATGTTGATAATAATTTGGTCAAGATAAATATTATTTTATTAATATTTGTAATACTTTCATTGATATTCATTATAATAAATTACAAGATTGATTTCCATGATCCATGTTGATAATATTTTGGTCAAGATAAATATTACACCATATGTTAAGTCCTAACCATAATATTAATTTTTTTTCACAAATATTCACTTTTATCCAAAAATATTTATGGAAAATCGTAACAGGTTAGGTAATTTTTTTTTTTTTAAAGTAATCAGACAAAATCAAGTTGGTGAGTTAATCTTTGCCAATATATTTTTTTCTTAAGCTTTATTTTGTTAAATATAAAAAATAAATTGTTCTTCAAATTAATATAATTTACCATTTAAGAGATAATGACTAGATACATTAAATAGTTTTACTAATGGTAAACAATTAAATTTGAAATATATTAAGTATTTTTTTAGGATTTATTTGTATGTTATTGGCACCCATGATTATTTTTTTTTATTTTCATTTATTTCTATAATTAAATTCTTGTAAAATATATTTTCATTGCACAGTATGCTAAATAAACTATAAATCCTTATAATGTGAATTAAAAAAATCTTGATCATAGAAGATATTGTGTTTTTGGCATTTCCTAATTAGTATACAAAATTAAATTCTAAAAAAACATGTATATATTTTGTAAAATATTTATACACTATTTAATTTTAAATTTATTTACATATTTTAAATTGATTACATAAATAAATAATACTAACGTACATTAAATATTTTTCATTACTTAAAATAAAAAGAAAAATAAGACGTACAACTTCTATAACTTTCTAAATGATAATGACAATATATGACAATAAAGTTTATAATAAAATAATAATTAAGTATTATATAGCGAACAAGAATAAGTAAAATATTATTCTCTCTTATATCAAGGAATTTATATATATATATATATATATATTAAAATTAAATTTATATTATTATAAATGTGTTAGTGAGATAATATATTAATTATTTTACAAGCTAGCCCTAACATGCTCATATTTAATGTTTTGACTAAAAAACAACGCGTGCAAAATAGATTGTAACCTTATTGTTTATTACGCTGATTAAAAGAGGTGAAAAATAGATGATAACATTTATATACTTAAACAGACAAAACCTGTGAAAATAACTCGTTTAATATTTCTGTCCCGTGCTCGCACGGGGTATGTACTAGTATGCATATAAAACATATACTCCCTCCTATTCATAATAAGTGTCATTTTGGGAAGTTCCACACTAATTAAGAATAATTTTTTTTGTCAATAATAACTCTTATTAACGAAGATAGAGATGAATATTTTTAAAAACTATTAATGAAGATAGAGATGAATATTTTTAAAAACAAGATGAAGAGAATATGAAAATAGGTAGTGTATTTATTAACTAAATGAAGGTAATAATGGAAAAATATGTACAAAAGATCCAAAACAACATTTATTTTAGTTAATAGTTGATAAAGTCAAAATGACATTTAAAAAGAATAGGATGTAGTACTAAATTCCATATATCCCACTGTAAAAAAATTACATCGATAATGATTAATATGAGGTAACAAAATAAATAACAGTGGATAAGACGGAATAATCATGATGGTGCAATGGACACCACAAATGATACAATATCTTTTCATGGTGATTGCAAAAAAACACACCTCCGATCTTTTTCACACAGGACATAACTTGAGCGCGAGTAAAATCACAAAGGAAATAGATGTGGCTTTTCAGAAGAAAAGGGCCTTCTGGATTTTCTTCATCCTCCACTGCGGAGGAAGTTACCAATGGGATTGACGGCTCTGGTCTCACCGCCATTGTTACAGGTTCGAGCTTTATACACTTTTCCTTTTTCTTTTCGGTAAAGGTTTTGTTATTCGCCTTACGCACCTGGCCTCTCGTGGTGACAGACCAGGGGCTTCAGTCTTCACATTCATCACCAAGTCATTATAATTTTGGAATTTACGTAAATATCATTTTATATTTTTATTTTCGACCTTTGTCGATTTCTCCTTATAAATTTCTCATCTCTCTTGTCAATTTCTTCCTTTTAGGTATGTGCTTTTTCATAATGGTTCAAATGCAATCTAGTTATAATATGACAATGGGATCCTGGAAATATTTCCATACGTCTACGTTTGGGTTTCTGGCAATATCAATGGTATATTTGATGATCTATCTTGGTTATCATGTGCAGAAAATAACATGAGTCGTACGTTGACAACAATATAGTTGAGAAAGAATTAAAAGAAAAATAAAATAATAACTTAGTATTTTGGCAGAAATGTGACATGAAAACTTTAACTTTGAGAATTTGTTTGCTGTTGGCCCTATGTTCACTTAGGTGGATGGTTTAATTCTGTGTATGCACATACGTATTCTGTTTGATTATACAAGAGATGCTCAAATCGCTTACAGATTCATTTGTTTCATTTTTATTGGATATTCATAAGCACATATTGTATCAGTGTAGTTTAGTATAATGTATTGAATACCTTACGAAAAGTTAAAGTACGCTGTTTTTGTGGATTCTACCTTTCATCAAGTCATGTCATATAATGTTTTACACATTTTGGTTGCTTTTTTTTTTACGGGATTTAGTTTCAACAAACAAAAGGAAAGCTAAAGAAACGTTGAGTCCTTAAGATTTTTTCGTTAACTGTTCAGCATCAATTGTAATCATTCAAAACTCAATTGTTTGCATGTCTGCTAGATCAAATTTTTATTCTTCTTGTGCTTATAATGTGTAAAAGTTGTTTAAAAAGAATTAAACCCAAAAAACGCCCAGTGATGGGCATAGGATATATTTTTTCTCTATTTACGACAGCCTTATTTATTTCGATTAATATGGTAGCATGAAGTACTCCAGGAATGGTTGACATGTTCGATTCAGTGCATATCTCAAACAAAGTGTTCATGCAAGTGATTGTGAAATGTGATAACTGAACATTCATTCTACAATTTTATCCTTGTAAATGGGGTATGATCTAAGGTAAAGGGTAAAAGTGCCAATCAAATCTTTATCTTAGTTTCTCGGAGGTGTTTGACATGTGACCTAGCGCATAAACGACATGTAAATTAAATAGTAAGCATGTTTGAATTATTCATCCATTTGGAATCAAGTGTACTAAGTGGAGCTCACAATTGCAGGGGCATCAAGTGGGATTGGTTCCGAGACTGCTCGTGTTCTTGCTTTACGCGGTGTACATGTCGTGATGGGTATTAGGAATATGGATGCAGGCAAAAAAGTTAAAGAAAACATAATTAAGGAAATTCCTAAAGCTAAAGTTGATGCAATGGAGTTAGATCTGAGCTCATTGGCATCTGTTAGAAAATTTGCATCCGAGTTTGCTTCCTCAGGTCGTCCATTGAACCTTTTGATGTAAGTAAGGCATATTTACTCATCAACTACCCGTTTTTGTGGGATTTTTGTTTTCTTTTTTACTTTGGTTTTGAAGAGGCAAAATGTAAGAAANAGTTGAAGAATAGATGTATGAATTGTGCATATGTTTTATTTTATCGATTTTTCTATTATTTGATATAGCCTCTTTGGTGTTAGTAATAATGCAGGTGTAATGGCACCCCCTTTCAACCTGTCTAAAGACAACATAGAGTTACAGTTTGCCACAAACCACTTGGGTATTTTGCCTGTTTCCCATATATATATGTATGTATTTTGGTTTTGATAGAAACTATATGATATAAGAACAAACTTCAATTGCATTGGATGTTTTCCGGGAATGTATGATTGTGCCATTGTGGCTAGTTACAAATACTAAGCTTTAACTCCAAATGTTGTAGAGCCTTTTAACCTTTGAAACTAGAAATACCCCTTCAATACTTCATGTTCTCACTAAATGAAATAAAAATTTTAATTTGCTTCAGATAGATGGTTATAATTTGTCTATTCTGTAATGTCTGTCTGGCCTCTGTGCTTGCTTGACATCCATTTTTCACTATTAGTTATTATCTATCTTACTTGCAGGACATTTTCTTTTAGCAAATTTATTGTTGGACACGATGAAAAAAACAGCTCACAAGACAAAAAAGGAGGGGAGGATCGTGAATGTTTCCTCTGAAGCTCATCGAGTTTCATATGAAGAAGGAATTCGTTTCGACAAACTCAATAATCCAGAAGGGTATTTGATTCTTTTTCGTACTAGTCACCACATTATTTGAATTGGATGTTGTGATTAATTGTCCGTTTTTTAAATTTATCAGTGTTTCTATTCATAAATAATTTAACTTGATATGTTGACCATTACACTGGAGTCAGCTAACTCTTCCGATGATTAAAATGTGGCTTATCTATGAATTACCTCTGAATTTTGGCCTAACTAAAAAGGGAAAATAACTTTCAAAGTTAATAAAGAAAAACTACTGATATTTGTTCCTAGTATGTAGCACCTTAAGAAAGTAACTGCAATCCTTAGTTACTCCACAAGTGATTCTGCAGTTAGGCCAAACCTCGATTGTAGTGTTTGTAGTTGTCCTTAAAATTACTTATTGCAAGCTCAAAAGTATTTAACCACATGAATTTAGTTACCCGCGAAATCTATATGGGTGAGATTATCATTTACGAAAGTTGATCTATGGTAATATGTGTATTACTTCTTTCCTACATGCAGATACAGAAAATGGGGTGCATATGGCCAATCAAAACTTGCTAATATACTGCATGCAAACGAGCTAGCAGCACGTTTGAAGGTAATAGCTAATTTCACACCATTTTGATGTTGCTTGTATATTCACCTCTACATTTTACCTAAACAACCCGACCCCAGTCCCCCAGCTGAAAAACAAATATTATGAATATTAAAGACAGTGACATTCAGCCTAACTACAAAGACTTAAAATAAACTCAACCCTTCATATTTGTTTGGGTTTGGGCAACTCAAGAGGAAACTCTTTATTGTCTAAACACCAATATCCATGTGACTTTATAATATCTCGAAGAAGTCATTGTAAATTTGAGCGGTAACTACGCCTTGTTTTTTCCACGATTCATTAGACTGAACTAATGGATATATTTTTAGCGATTTGCACTCAAGTGAATGACAATTCCATTAGATAGAGAGATTATATTTCCCGTCGAGAAATAGTCAAGGCAGGTCATTTTTTTCTTTTTTTACAGAAAGATGGAACAAACATTACTGTAAATTCACTTCATCCTGGAGTAATCACAACCAATCTTTTCCGCCATCTTGGAGCTTTTGAAGGTAAAAGTGGATTGTTTTTTTAATATCAACTAGGGGCTTTTCAAATTGCAAAAATATGTCCTCAATCAATGCTATTCTTTTGTAGTTTTAATGTGCTTCTGTTGTTTTCGCATTTTACAATTATTTATTAACAAATTCAGATAAATGTTTGACATTTTGAATTAGGCCCCTTCCATGTAAAGTTATAGGATAATTTAAGATATACATCTGCATAACATGTCTTCCTTATTTTTAAATTTGATTATTTTTTCCCCGCCGAAAATTATTAAATGTCGTGGTTGTTCTGTTGTGCGTTCTCCTTTGAAACAATGTCACACTGGAAAAATGGTTAGATCTGAATTATTTTATACTTGCATGATTATTTCACTACTGCATTCAGCTGGACCAACCTTTAGATGTTTGTGAATCCCAAGATCTTTTGCAATGTGAATTTTATCCGAGCTATTTTGCAGCCGCCCAGAACTAAGTTATGATGATGTATAAGTTAAAATAGTCACTTTCTTGAAACAAGAAGCTTCAGATTGTCCGTTGGTTGATTTTGTATTTATCATCTTTGTAGCCTTAAGAGTACTAAATTATGACATGCATAACAACTGCTTCCTCTTGATGCAGGTCTTGTGAACACATTTGGTCAACTGCTGTTTAAAAATGTTGAACAGGTATGCTTTGGCAAATTTATTATCTTTTATAATTGTAAATACTAAAATACTACCTTAACATTTGTTCGTTGTGAACTCATCTTTCTTTTTTTCTTTTTCAAAAAAAAAAAAAAAAAATATATATATATATAAGGGAGCTTCAACCACATGTTATGTGTCATTGCATCCACAAGTGAAAGGGATTAGTGGTGAATACTTTTCAGACAACAACTTGGCTAAAGCAAGTGCACAAGCTGCAGACACAGATTTGGCTAAGAGACTATGGGACTTTAGTCTGGACTTGATGAAAAGATAATGTTCCTTTTAACAACCTAAATATTTACAGTTCAAGAAATTAAAAGTTGTTATAAAACTAGAGAGAAAGAGAGAGAATAGAGAAAATGTATTCTCTTAGGTACGATTTTCATTATAACTGAAGGTCCTATTTATAGGAAACTTCTGATGGCACAACTCGTAATAATACAAATACATCGAGGGCAAAATAGTCATTCACATACATTATTTTATTATTTCATAACACTCCCCCTTGAATGACTATTTTCTAAACATATTTTAACTAATTTGAATAAAGCCCAATCTGTACATCTTCAAATGTATCTTGTGGCCATCAGGTACCGTTGCTTCAACATGTCAGGAAAACCCGGTGGGATAAAACTTGATCATCGTGGAAGCACAACTTTGCTCCCCCTCAAATAGATCATCTTTAGTGGAGTATCCATGTGTGCTGCCTCGTTAAAACCTTGTCAAGAAAACCCAGTGGGAAAAAACTTGATCGAAGGAAAAAGAGTACAGCTACTCCAGTCTCTCTTATCACCGTGAGGAATCATATCATTTATCCAATAGTGCTCATGATACCATGAATATGCCTCGTTAAACCTTATTAGGAAAAATCCAGTGGGACAAAATCCTAATGAAGGAAAAAGAGTACACTATTCATGTGAATATGCTATCCTTGTTGCCTCATTAAAAAAACCTTGCTAGGAAAACCCAATGGGACAAAACCTTAGCCAAGGGAAAAAGAGTACAACGCGTATTTCATATATTCACCATAATAATCTTTCCATAATTTGTATGAGTATCATATAAATTCGTTCAGATTTTCAGATACTGATGGTGTTCATAACAATATGTCATATCATGTTTTGTGCAACGTTTATTCTTAAACTCATTCTCATCATCAATTGATTTCAATGGTGTTACTGCCAATAGTTCCCAATATTCACATTTCAGCTGATTTCATTCTTGTCAATATCATTTATATAGCGCTATTCATTTGTTTGTGTCGACACTTATTCATTTCCATTATTCCCCGTAGTATATTGAGATATCTCATTATCAATTGATTTCAACAATAGTAAATATACCCTCTTTCATCACTTATTCGGGGAATTTCAATTTGCACAATACCAATGCTTCCAGCGTATTATTCCACTATCATATCATTTCATATAATTCATCATCATCAGTATCATATAGTTTATGATTTGCACACTTTCACTGTGATGCATATATCATTTCCAAATTTCAATCATTGATTCTCTCCCTCATCTTAACAGATTCCTGATCTGTATTTTTAGTATTGAATTTCTTGAGGGGAGTTCATATAGTCTCTATTTTGTTCTTGATTTCAACATATATTTGGAGGACTTTGAACTCATATCATTTGTAGTGTGCACATTTTTCTTTCAAGAGTTCATCATATCAGGTGAGTATATTACTAGCTTCATCACTTTCATATGACACTTATTTTCATTCTTTCATAATCATCTTGTGTCATCCTTAGATCAAACCATCTCGTAAATTCAGGTTACATGTCATATACACATTCTTTGATCAAATCATCTCGTAACTTCAGGTTACGAATCACACACATGTGGCTATCTAGTGGATCCATAATATCTAGTAGCACACATGGAGGGGTAGTGGGCCCATATATATCGTACCCCTTTCATACTCAGATTGATCATATATCGATTCACAAATATTTAGCTAGTAATATTTTTCACCAATCGGGAACAAGCATCTCATATCACAAAGAATAAGTTCATCATGCAAACCATCATCAATAATATCGGTAAACATTTTTAAAGTGATCACAATAATTCGTTGTGACATGTTTATCACAAACATTTCACATCATCTTTCGGCGGCAATAAATGCACTTTAAGTGTAGGCTCTGGTATAATATCTTTTAACCACTGTTTAAATCCAGAATCGTATCATGCTGTCTGACACACATACTTTTGAACACTGTTTAAGTCCAGAGTCGTATCTCATACGCATCATATTTTTCTATAAATTATCAGGTAATTCATTCAATTTTCTTTAACAAAGGTCCGAATTTACAAATGGATTTAGCACTCTCAAATATCCGTAAATATTATTCTTTTCTTCCGAAAAATATCATAAAAAGGATTTATCGATCTCGATTAGAAAGATTGAGGATGCTAATGAATAATGGTATTCCAAATGATGTTAGATGGTTGATCGAAGCACAAGTTCGATTGTCTGGAGAGTTTCCAAATTCATATAAATATATGCCAGGTATGGGTAAAAGTACTTATGCAAAGAAACGAAGAGCAAAAAGGTTAGGTGGATGCTTCAAATGCGCTCGATGGACTTGTGACACACGATGTATATCTGTGGGGTACGTGTCCAAAAATCGAGAAGATAAAATAACGTTTATAAAGGATGGATTGAGTAAGGAGTCTTTGGATCAAACGATTCAACAGATTCTTGAGACACATCCTAGTGGATACGTGCATCGTGAGCTTATGTCTTTATGGATTCAGTTCAAAAATGAAGAAGAACGTTATAGTCTCGAAAATATTATTTCAAAAGATCAAGTTTGTAAAACTGGTCTTGTTAGTACGAAAAATCATACTAATACAGTTTAGTATGTTGTACTGTAATTTTCTAGAAAAACTTATAGTTGCCGACAGATAAGATTTATTTAAAACCCAACACCTTATCTGTCAGTTGCAATTGTCAGAAGAAAACAGTAAAATTATTTATTGCTTTGTAAAACTTTCTATTTAAATAGCGAGTCGTTCATCATAATCATATGCCTCACAAAGTTTTGAAAAATTCAGTTTATCAATAAATAGATGGATGTTTCAGAGTCTTCGCAAGGTAATAATTTTCTTCAACCGATCAAAACCATATGTGTTCTTGGTGGTTCTAAACTGGTAAGTTTTTCTCAAACTATTGATATTGTAAGTCAGTTAGTCAAAGAGATGGGGAATCAAAAAATCAATTTGCTGTATGGAGGGACTAGCAATACTTTCTATGATAGTCTCTTAATGGCTGGACAATGTTTTGAGATAGAAGTGAAAAGTATCATACCTTTTCGTAGAGCTTCAACAAAGGTCGTCAAGGATTCCACAAGCATGATGTTAACTCATTCCATTCATGATTGTATGATGGATATGGTGAACAATAGCGATGCTTTTATCATTCTTCCAGGCGGGTATGGAACGCTAATGACAATGTTCACCATTGCTTTATGGGCAGAATTGAAACTTCATAACAAGCCCATAGGTCTATTGAACTTTAATAACTTCTTTCATGGTTTGCTTGGATTTTTAGACATAGGAGTATATCAAACCTTTATATCTCCTTCAATGAGAGAAGTATTCAAATCTGCTGACACGTCTGCTGAACTTATCAAAAAGCTTCAAGAATGCATCACATTTCAAGATTCTGTGGAAACACAAGGGGTCAAGCGAAAAAGAGCTTTTGATCCTTTAGATCTCTCATTATGAACCCAGATATTATTCAAATATGAACCCAGATATCATTCATGGGTGGCAGAGTTACGGAGTTTTACACTCTCGAGACGCACCCTTCTTTTATGGGTTCTATTATGTAATCTTTGCGTATTTTGTATTCATCGAGTATTTACTGCCTCTTTTCCATATTTCCACCATCTGAACATTTTGTACTTGTTTCTCAGTAATAATAATATCAATTTCGATTTTTCTCAGTGTATAGTAGTTCATGACTACAATCATTATCATTTGTGCTTCTTCCGGAGCACTTTATTGTAATATCTGTATGATCTCGTATCCCAATGTGATCTCGTCATCTGATATAGCCCCTTAGACTTATATAATATATTGAGAAATCATTTTGTGTGATCACCCATAGCTGGTAGCTTTTGATACCACTTTCTCATTTTGTTCAATCATTCAATGGTAGCTTCTAGTACCATTTCATCACTTTGTTTAATCATAAAGTGGTAGCATCCAGTACTACTATACCATGATATCATTTAATCATTATGCCATAACTTCCGACATCACATTAATCATGTGGTAACTTATAGTACCATCTCATCAATATTCATATCTCCATAAATTTGGAGAATTTATCAACTGATACTTCAGGACCAGGTTAGTCCATATAATGTCTGTTCATGACAAGGACTTTAATTAACTTTCATATAGTCAGATACAAAGTATCATTAATTTCACTCATTGGCTATCACTTAATTTGTACTGCCCATCGCCGGCGGCAGTGCCGCACTGGCCGACCCATGTATATGTATAGCCATTCATTTGTTGCACGCGGCGTTGCCACCTGGCCATTCTATATCACCGGTTATCATTAATATACTGGCTGATCCATTTAGCCGTTCAATATTATCTGTTGCTGGTGGCTGCAACACTTGGCCATTTCATATGATCGGTCATATTTCTTTATAATATTTTTGATCAATAATTAACCCGTTGGTTACCATTAAATATTACTTGCCGGTGGCAGAGCCGCACTGGCTGATCCATATAGCCACACATATTTCTTTTCATATCACAAGGGTCAATCCATAAATATTCGCACGTTCATGTACCAAATAATTTTCTCAATAGAAGAAAATCAACAGTTCATAATGACAATATATATTAATATAATTCAATAAATCATATCAATATTGGTCTTAAATCGAAGCTCTATTTAAATGAAATATTATGAATTTGTAAATTGCTAATTTTGATAATGTATGCTTTTGTACATGTGCTTCTGGCACTACATATTTCATATCACATGGATCATTCTATAAATATTTATATGTCCATGTACCAAATAATTTTCACAATATAATGAGATTTTTCTTTCAATTTTGTGGTGGTCATTAATTTATACAAATATCTAGCATTAAAAGTGGGTACACGTCACATTTATTGGCAATAATCCCTATGGGGTACACAATGTTGGCAATTGATTGCTGCTACAATTCAAGGATATGCATAAAGTCAAATTATTCCAAGTGGGATCACACAAGTGGAATATTAAACATTATTAATAATGGAGTGATGAGAATATATGCCGGCTTTATCATCGCAGTATGTTGCTGAGATAGACTTTCTTCTATCATTTATTATTATTATTTTTTTTTTCAGCTCAACTCACTTTGTTGGAAAAAATTTAGTCGAGAAATCTCTATGCCCTAGATTTCCCATACACACATGAATTCAAAAAAGGTAAAACTTATAGGGAATAAACCAGCCTGAGTCCCAC